GGAGACGCTGGGCCCCGCCGCCGTCGACGCTGAGGGCGGGAGACGCCGTGTGACCCCTGCCCCCGGAGGCGTGTGCGGGGACACCCGGCCCTGTGGGCTGAGCCGACGGGGGAGGGGGCGGGTTCCGGGCAAAGGGGGAGGGGCCACGGGGTCGCCGGGCCCCGCCTTCCGGGCCGGGCGTGGGCGGGACTCCCCCGTCCCCCCCCCTTCTGGCAAAAGTGAGTTTGAGATCAAACCCCGAGAAACAGTGGACGGCTGTCCTCTCCCAGGCCCGAGTTTGGAGAGCATTAACACTCCCCCCACCCCCAGCCATTCGCCTCGGACTGGAAATGTCCTTCTTCGGGGACACGTCCATTCCCAGGGAGGTGCGGGTTAACAGCGCGACCCAAATCCCGTGTGGTTCTCGTTCCACCCTCGCCCGGCCTACACGTCTCGGGGTATGTCTGTAACCCTCTCGTTCTCGGGGCGTCTTTCATCCTGAAGGAAATAAATAGGTGTCGTTAGCCGTCAGACTTCTATTTTGCACGTTTCAACAAGTTTGCCGCCCCTGTCGCTCGCGGGTCGGTGGGGTCGCCCTTCGCCGGCTTCCGGGCGAGGGTTTGGACGGTGCCATTCGCGAAGGGGTGTGGCCCAGCCTCGCTGGGGAAGCCTTTTTTTTTTTTTAAAGGGGTGCGCTGTTGTAAATAAATACAACTCTTACTGCAAAGGAGTGGCTACTTGGTGTAGTGTTTTCTAAACGGTTTATAAAGGTTTTTGAATGCCTGCATGTAGTCGCTTCCCCTTCGTTTCAAGTTTTGTGGGTAACAGGAGTTTTCAAAGAGTGGCTTGTGAGCTGGGAGGGGTTCGGTAGCGAACCTCTCTATCTGGATGCAGCTCCAGCTGGGGGGTGGTGTGGGCCGGCTTGCTGCAGCTCCCGGAGTGGGAATGCAGAAAGTGTAGCTTGTTTTTCCACCATGCACCATCTCTTTGGGCAAGGAGTCAGGATGGCTCTTTCAGATCATAGGATGGATACTACTAGTCAGTATACGCATGAATTCAGAATAAAGTAGGTGGTGAAGGCAATATTGCAGTAAAGATTTCTTTTTTTGGGGGGGGGGAAGGGATGCTGATCCTGGGATTTGAACTTGGGTGCTCTCACTTTTCTCCTTGAGAATGGCACTTTACCATCTGAGCACACACTACACCGTTGTTTTTGGTGGTTAATTGGAGATGAGCAGCATGGACTTTTCTGCCCAGCCCGATTTTTCGAAGGTCCCATCCTCAGATATCAACCTGAGTAGCTAGGATTACAGACATGAGCCAGCCGGCCCAGCTATTAAACATTTCTTTTACATTGCTTTTTGTCTTCTGAAAGTAATTACAGTGTGGTAAAATTAAATCAGTTTTCTTTTTTTTGGGGGGGGGTCCGGTCGTGGGGGTCTGAACTCTGGGCCTGAGCGCTGTCCCTCAGCTCTTCAGCTCAAGGCTAACGCTCTACCACTTGAGCCACAGCGCCACTTCCGGTTTTTTGCTTTTTGCTTATGTGGTGCTGAGGAATCGAACCCAGGGCCTCACTCATGCAAGGCAAGCGCTCTATCACTGAGCCAACTTCCCAGCCCTAAATCAGTTTTCTCTCAGCCTTAAATTTCAGATCACTTCTAATTTTATTTTTGGTGGTACTGGGGTTTGAACTCGGAACCTTGACTTCGGGACCTTAGTACTTCACTAAGTAGGCTTTCTTAACATTTGGGCCATTCCTGCCAAATTTTGGTGTTTTTATTGGAATTTTCTTATTTATCAGAATTTGTGTTCCCAGATTTAAACATTGGAACGGAACAGAGCTTTTTACTGAAAAACTGGGTATTTTATATCATTGGATGGGGATAAACATATTGAGCACATTTTAGTTTGTGTTTTGAGTCATTGGGATTGCTATGCTTTTTCTTACTCAGTGTATTAGTAAAAAAAAATGACTTTGCCTTAAAAGTAACATTTTGGGTCACTTTCAGCTTATTTCAGAGTGACTTGGTTTCCTCTTTTTTTTCTTTTTTCTTTTTGGTCCGTGGGGGCCGGGGGGGGGGGGCTGAACTCAGGGTCTGGCCATGTCCCTGAGCTCTTTTTCTGAAGGCTAGTGCTCTACCGCTTTGAGCCACTTGCCGTTTTCTGGTGGTTAATTGGGAAGTAATATTCTCTCGGACTTTGAACTGCAATCCTCAGATCTCAGCATTTTGAGTAGCTAGGATTACAGGCGAGAGGCTCCCTGCTCCCAGCAGTGACTTGGTTTCTGATTATATTTTAGTGATAAAAGTCTTGCAATTTTTTAAAGAAGTCTGTGATATGACCAAAAAGGCAGAAATAGTTAAATTTGAGTTTAGCTGTTTGTTAAATTTTTCATAAGTTTTAGGGAGATGCTGTTTCAAAATATAATTGATTGGTCTGATAGGGCAGAGCATTAAACAACAGCAAAACACATTGCATTGACTTGGCTTTTACTAAACATGAAGCAAGTGTTGAAGAATATTGGTGTCAATTTTGCAGTTTTCTGTTCACTTTTTCTGGTAATAGTATTTCACTAACTTCTAAATGAAGCTAGTGATGGGCTGGTCTGCTGCAATGTAGTTATCACAATGAAACTAACACATTGCTTTTCTGATTTTATTTACTTGTGAGGATTGAACCAAGGGTCTCATATGTTAAGCTGGTGGTATACCACTTAGCTATATCATCAGCTAGCAAATTATTTGTGTTTTTTTTGTTTTTTTTTTTAATGCAAGGTGGTTACTACATTTTATGTTTTGACAGCTCAAATATTTTGAGTCTTAGATTCAAATTACTAACACAAAAATAATCCTGGAAGTAGGAAGACAGCACCTAAAGTCAATTCCTCAGTTCATAAGGGACCATACTTAGTGGGTGTTGGTCAGCTTAGGACCTACATTTCTTTATTCCAAGCCCTGCCTATTCTCTGACTATAGTGGTAATCAATTTACTTTCTGCTTGGTAAATGGTATTTTTCTCAGGGTTGACTAAAGAACATAAGTTTGGGATTTTTTTATTTTAACTTTTCAGAGTGTTTCCATCCTTGTGAAGTGAAGCAAAATATTACAATACATAACATGCCCAGATCAGAACCCTGGTTTCTTAATCCAGCTTGGTATACTCTCCAAGGATTCTACACACCTACTAACAATAATCACTCAAAGCAATCTATTCTTTGCAACTTAAATGTGCTTGATGACACCTGTTGTTTGATACTAAAAAGTACAAAGAACTTATTGGGGGGGGGAGTTAGTCATAGGGCTGGGAGTTCATAGACTTTCTTGCCTGGCTTTGAAGGAGATCATCAGATCTCAGCCTCTTGAATAGATGGGATTACAGACATGAGCTATCGGTGCCTGGCAAATAGATTGTTTACTTTTAGATTAATTCTTTGTGGGTAATGTTTTAGGGAGAACATGACTAAAATATTTTAATATGAGCATTTTTGTTCAGTATAATTTTAAAAATGTTTCAGAGATATTTTGAAAGTGTAGAGGTAATAGCAAGGCTGGATTTAGACTGTAAGAATCTGCTGTAGGAGACATAGCTGACATTGTTCACATGGTAGAGTGTCAACCAGGGAGCAAAAGCCTTGGAAACCAATTTATGTGCCTCTAGTTTGAAACAACTAGAACCATTTATGTATGCTGATTGAACATTTGAAAGTGGTAGGTATATTGCGTGGTGCCCGTGGCTCATGCCTGTATTCTTAGCTACTCAGGAAGCTGAGATCTGAGGATCATGGGTCAAAGCCAGCCAGGCCATGAAAGTCCATGAGACTCTTTATCTCTAAAAAACCCCACCAGAACCCCCCCCGCCCCCCCAAAAAATAAAGTGGTAGGTATACTGTAACATACCATCGTCGTCTGGAGTACTTCTGTAATCTAATGCTTCATTATCTAATAAAAAGTTTTTTTTGTGTATGCCACTAGGACTTGAACACAGGGCCTAGTTCCTATCCCTTAGATTTTTCCACTTAAGGCTCATGTTTTACCACTTAAGCCTCACCTCTACTGCCAACTTTTTGGTGGTTAATTGGAAATAAAAGTCTCAAAGACTGTAATACCAAGACTTGTCAGATCTCAGCTTCCTTGAGTAGCTGAGCCACTAGTGCCTGGCCTAATTTTTTGAATTTTTTCTCTAAGTAAATAAAGATCATTAAAAATCTTCATGTGTAAATCAGAGTTTACTACTAGGTAAATTTTGTAGAACTTAGTCCTTAAAACTTGTGGGTTTCTAAATTTTGAATTGTGGACATTATGGACCTTCAGTGGCATAAATTGGAAAAAGTACAGTCACTTTCATGTTCAGTAGAACTGAACTGAGCAGCTATACTCTGGCAGATACTTTATACATATTTCAAAGTCATATATATATATATACTTTATACATATTTCAGCAAGGTATACTCTTCCCATTTCATAGTTCCTCTTGACTATTAAGAGATGAAGCAGAAATTTGAATTCAGGTGAAGTCAACCAGTATAATCCTACATGACACAATCATGAGGTGTTCTTTGTCATGATGGTAG